GTGCAGTGAGGACTAGTCACCAGAGGAAAGGAATTTAAGTCTGTCTTTGCTTTAATTTGTGTACCTTCTGGCAGATGAGTAATTTTCAGATGGGTTTGGAAATGTTCAACTGGCCTTACTGCTCAAACTCCTCTGAGTTGTAAACTTCTTGCAGGACTTGGTTCTTTGATACTCACTTTAGACTGGGTAGCAAAGATTTTTTTAAAAACAGATAATTAATAGTTTCCAGGACAAAGATACTGAGTTTGTATCTTCTTTCAGAAGTACTGTGATAATCACATTCTGTGATACAAAAAGACAAAATAGTTGCAGGGTTCTGTGGCCAGATCTTATTAAGACTGAAGATGCAACCATACCTGGAAAGCAAGCAGAAGGATATGCAGGAGACCTGACAGTCTTGTCAGCTTGTAGTATGTTGGTTGTTCCTGTTCTTCCACTGTTGTACACAGCTGGGGGTAAGAACTTAAAACAACAGGATTTGTACAAGCAAGAGGTCATTGACCAATGACAAACCATGCAGACTCTATAAAGGCAATCTCTAAGTTAAAAAATTACTCCATACATTACACCCATCAGCTTTAAGCTTTCCCTTGGCTTATGTTAACTTTTCTTTGTGGGCTAATTGCTTATTAGAGCAGAAGTGGACCTTGAGAAGGGCATATGGCTTCCATTTCCTGACAGCCGTGGAGAACAGTCACAGTGGAAACTATGAAGGCTTTTCTCGTTTTTGTTTTTTTTTTTTCTAGTGGGTCTTCAGATTGGTTGCAAGTTTGGGGATACAGTTGTCTGAGGTAGTGGGAAACTGAATTTAGTTCTGTGCATCTAAACCCACCCCTCACTAGTAAAGCAAGTGGTTTTCTGGTTTTCCCTGCTTATCCCAGTTGCTGCAATCTGTGATCTTGAATGAGGCACTAAAGCCCATCGCCATGCTGGTTTCCATCGTGCATGGCTTCTCAGGTCTCAGTCAATCCATGACTGGTGTGTTCTGTGGCAAACCTGACCTTGGGGTTCATTCGTCTGAATTTTTCTAGTTAGTAATGTCCAGTCTTGATCAGGAGGTAGTAATGAACATCTCTCTTCCGTTGCTTAGGTTTGTGTGGTGAGAAGGATGATGTCTGTTCTTTGATGTCTTAGACCTTCATTCCTTTTCTTTTTATTTCTGCCTGTAAAGATCCACTTGATGTGGCTCTTGGTGATGGTGCTGCACAAGTGAGTGATAATGCCCCATTTGGCATGCTTACTGAAATGTTTGAGCTCATATGAAAATATTTAAGCATAGGTGACCTTAAGTAAAGAGAAAACAAAGTCAATGAGAATAACAGCAAGGGTGGAGTTAGATGTATGCTTGTTTCAAAATTTAGAGGGAATGAAGACTGGGCATGCATTCCTGAAAAGCACAGACTTTTCCCTGTATCTTGTTTTCTTAGCAAGAAAGGGAGTATGTGCTTGTAGCCCAGTACCCATGAGAAGCAAATATGATTCTCTTTAGGCTCAAGAATACAAATGTATGTATCAGCCTATATTTGCATATAGCATAATGTGACTTCAGTTCTGATTTTTGGCCTAAAAACACTATGTGTGCATGTAAAATATAATTAATGTTGGACCCTAGGGTAGAATTTTCATCTGACCTTTTACCGGGAGTAATTTTGGAAGCTGCCCAAAATGTAAAATCCCCTGAAGTTCTTCTAAAGGAGATGCTGATGAAAAAACACTTACAGGAATGTTGGTCTCCGATCTCTCTGCGGAAGAGAAACTTCACTGGGACTTTGCTCAGAGAAGCCTAGATTTTGAGACTCTTATCTGCACAGCAATACAGTAAAATAAAAGTCTGACTGTTCTGTTCACAACAGCTGAACTTTAACCAAATTGAAAAAAAGATTGTGTGGAGTATTACATACTAAGTGGCTTAGACTCTGCCTCTGGGGCAAATCACTGTATGCATGCATACGTGGTCACGTGTGGATCACGTGCTTGCTGTGCTCCCAGAGGTATGGCCATAGCATGAAACCAACACAAGAGGCTTCCCCATGTTCTGGTGTGGCTGTTCAACTGTAAGGAAGAAATCTGTATTATGTATGTCTGGCTCAAAGCCTAGCTACACCAAGAATGTGACCCTCAAACTGTGCGAAGCTGGAAGATCTGTCTGTCTGCCATTAGCTGAGCAACAGAGGGAATATGCAGTGACGATTTTCACTTACCCTTTCAGGTCAACATTTAAAAGCTTTGCTTCTTGCTTGCCAAGTTCCTCTCCCCAGAGTGTGCTTTCTGGAAGTTCTGAGGGCAGGGAATCAATATATTGGCCTTTCACATATGTTTAATAGTTTAAATTTCTCTTAAAATTTAAGTGACTTTGCTTTTAGGTTGTAGAATACTGCCAGTGCCACTCAAGCAACGTAACTGCTGTGGTGTGTATACATGCATGTTTTTGCTTCAACTTTGCTTTATCATGGTAGGATTATATAAGGCTTGGCTAAAGCTCACGTAATTTTTTTTTATAGCACATATTGTAACTTTATATCAGTAACCCTTCTCACTTCTGTAGTGTAAAGGTTTTTTAGTTGCTCAAAGCATATATAGAAAATCTAGTGAAAAACAATGTTTAGCATTTCTTGTAGCTTGGCTTCTTAAGGAAATACGTGTTTCTGAATGCTCTGGGGACCAGAGGTGGGTTGTTGAAGGCCACAGCATTAAATTCTGAGTATCTCCAGAACAGTGTTTCAAGAAAAATATAGCAAGGTAAGGATAGGTGATGCTTTTTGAATATTTTCCCCAAGAGTTCTCTAGATTTTGAATCTGTTGGCCAATTTCTACCTGTCCGAGAGATTACGCATACCTGAATTGGTGACATTCTTACTTGCTGCATGAAAATGTAGCCACCTAAAGATGGGAAACTGCAGGTGCCCCATTAAGGGAAGATCTGCAACATGTGCTCATGTGGGGTTGGACAGGAGCTCCTGTAGGAGAGAGGCACTGTAAGTGTTCCCCTCCTCTCTTGAGAAGAGCTTTAGTCAAGCCATGAAAATTCTCACATGTGGCATTGATCCTTAGGACACAAGGTCTTGCCTCAGATGCTTATGCAAGTACTAGTGTGCCCTTGTCCCCTTAGTACACTTCTGCACAGTTAATTAACATAGTATGAAGGTAGTGAAAAAAATAGTTTTCTATGGCTCTTACCTTGAAGTTCAGCAAATCATGATAATCTTATAGCTCCAGTCTGGGAAAGGAAAAAGATCAATGTGCCTTCTGACCAATGTCAGTTCTGAAGACAGTAAAAAACAATTAGGACTTTAATGAGAATAATCTACGTCACCTTCAGAGAAAACTATCTGCCATTTTTGCAGAAGAGATGAGAGTTTGCCCAGAAACCTGCTCTTTTTTTCGTAATACTTTAACCCCATTTCCAAATTCTGTTTCTAGGGCAAAATAACACAAAATCAATATGAGATGTGCTGTTATCTGGCGTAACACAGAGATGAGTAGCAGTGCTGTTAGAGTGCCCGGGTAGGAGTATAGTGCCATAAGGTGTTGGTCACTTTTGCAGACATTGACGCAAAGGGAATTGCTGGGCTAAGTGACAGATAAGCCTGTATCTGTCCTGGAGCTGATGCGAGTTCAGTCTTACTGCTGCTCTAACCCAGCCAGCTATGGTGAACTCTGCTCCACAGCCGTTCTCACTGCTCTTCCCTGATGCTCTGCATGAGTAAAACTGAAAACAGTGTGTAAGAAAGAGCTGGGTGTCAGGCATGTTTGGCCAGTAATTAGCAATTGTGAATAAATTTTTGAAGAAGGTAGAGTAGATCTGGCACCCATCTGTCAGAGAAGTTAGAAAACTTGTTTGTCTGGTGCGGAAGAGGAAGAACGATGCTGGCAGCATTGAGTTCTGTCAATCCCATAAACCTCTACAGAGCTGGTGGAAGCATGGGGGGAGAGAGGGAAGTTCACTTTTTAAATTCTTCCTGACATAGTCTACATGTGTTCTCTTACCCTCTGCCCCTCCATCTGGCTTTTTTTTCCTTGTTGCAAAATGTTTACAAGTGGGAAATGGTAAAATAACACAGCGTAGACTAGCTAATGGTAATTTACTACAGATGTGTCATCTATTTCTAATTTGGGGCTTTTCCATGCTCTGTAGAGGTTGCTCACAGTAGAACTGAATGCTCAAAGCATTTCCTCCATCTGTAAATATATAGTGAACCTGCACTATGTCACATCTCCTAGGAATGCATGGTTATAAAGGAAAGACCCTCTTATAATGCTCTTGATGCAGCTAGGGCAGCCCTTGTTTCTAAATGGCAGCTGTGTTTAACTTTTTCTGAATATAATAAATACCCATTCAGCCATTCTTTTTGCTTTTTTGTAAATATGTCACAGCAATCTGGATTTACTGTCACTGTAATCTCACATTGTAATGTAATGGCAATAAAATGATTCCCATACAAGTCTAGAGAGAATCTGTGCTAATACCATTAAAATGTGCTTACCGAATCAAAACAAATGCAGCGTTAGCATGTGGAAACTGTGTTTATGCGATTATAATGTTTCAGCAATATGAGATTACTGTAGGAAGCAACTAATCCAAACCTAGGGAGACTTCCCATTACAAGACCATTAAAATGACACAATGACTGAAGCACAAGTTTCAGATGGGAAAAGCGGAAACACAAATCTTGTCATCAGTATTCAGGCAAAACATCTATTGAACTCAGTAGAGTTTTTACCAGTCAAGAATGCAGTACCATGACCTTTTTAGCAGCAAGTCTCTTTTCTCTTAACAATACCTCTAGAAAAAATATTTATTTCACCGGTATTTAATAGTTGGCTAATGGCAAGAGTCGTATTTTATGCACCATACAATTGGTGGTTATAAAGATTTGTCCTGAGCTTATTACAGAAATGTTAAGATATTGTTTCAAGGCTATTAAATAATACAAGTTCTGGTTATATCTTAAAGTAATTCTATTTTTTTTTCTTATCTGCATATGTAATTTTCAGGAAATACCATTTATTTCTCTATTTATACAGCACCCGGAGCAGAGAAGCCTTGGTGTATGTGGGAGCACCTTGGTGATACCACAGCATAAATTACTGATTTCCAAAACTAAAATACCTTTTACTGCCAGATAAGAGCCTAGCTGCTTATCTTTTGTCATAGGAATTAACATCTGTCCCCCTCCCCTCAGACTGGGTTAAGATTGGGGAAATATAATTCACATATTTTATGTAGGACCATCTAAAATATACTTGTCCAGCATTGTTTCTTGTCTCCCTCCGTAGACCATGGAAGGAGGCCAATATTACAGAAAGTGACTTGTCCTGTCCTACTACAAGCATTCATAATAGGCTGGATGAGTTGTCTATGAGTATGTCTTTCCATCTCCACTAGGAAAAATGACCTAGACAATTATTCTGTAGAAGCTGTACATCATTTTAGATGGCTAAATGAGTTGATATGGATTCAGTACTGGGAGTATGAAAGAAGAAACTTTCTCAGAAAAAAGTTCTGTGTAAAACATGGCATGCAAGTCATTAGTAATGCACATGAATGTTGATTTCTGTAGTAATATATACATGCTTAAATTAAGCAGCAGTCCTTATTCCATTTAAAAGCTGTTTGCACCTAAAATCTGTTTTAAAGACACTAATTAAATTCTGTTCCATCAGGTGAATCTTACTAGGAATAATGGATCATTATAGCATAATCAGGGCATGCTGTCTGTGTAAATGACAGTAGGGAAGATATCAGGACAGTAGTGTTAAAAATAATTCCAGTCATAGGTTGTTGGCTGTCTTTATTTCTCATATTTTTCATTATTAAAAGCGGTAGGTTTCTAAAACTGTTAGTAAGCAGGCAGACATTAATATTAATCATTTTTTCATGCAGATAAAATTAGGCCTACTTTAAATGCTGTGTCAGTTTCTGGTTTTGTGATGCTTCTTATATTTATAAAAATCCTTGGCTTCAGTCGAAAGGTTCAATAGCAGGCATTGGTTCTGTAAACTCTGTATGTGTGCTGTAATCTCAGATCTAGAGTCTAAAAATCAACAGATTGCTGTCTGCTTCAAGAGAAACCTGGCACCAAAAGTGGTAATTTTAGATGTTTCCTGCTGTTATAAATCAGAAGACGGCAGCCTCAGGCTATAAGAAGATCTCACACATACAACCATAGGTCTTCACAATGGGCAGGCCAGATTAATTGAGGGTAATCTAAATTAACTGTGTCAGAAGGGAATTAGTGGGAACAAATGTTCAAAGTCAACTTTTTATCATAGTAGTAATCTGAAAGTGAGCAAAAATTCACATTCAATCAGAGTGGCCTTTTTGAGTAACTGCACTATTAAACAACTAAAAAACTCAAGTAGAAACTTGCTAGGGAAACAGACTGTAATCAATTTGTGTCAAGTTTTATCAAAAGAACAATACTTATATATATAATTATATAAAAAATGTTTGTTTTCCTAACTTAATAAATGGATTTGAAAATTGTCAGTGAACATGGGGAAGGAAAAGTGTGTCTCCAATGCAGACAGTAGTTACCACTCTTTACGCTGTCGGAGTTTTACTGAATACCAGAGTGTAGATATTTAACAATGAAAAAAACCAAAACAAAACAAAGCTATTGCAGTTATCTTAGAATTATGTTAGTCTTTTAGCTGTGTGTATGAGAATGACTCTGATCATTGACATTTTTCAAAAATAGTGGGTTGATCTATAGAACACCAGCTTTCTTCAAGGATAGAATTAGTGGCTGGGTTGGACAACTTAATTGAATTGCAGCTAGCAGCAGTTTCTGACTAAGACAGGTATTTTGCTTTTAATTATTTGCTCAAGAATAATATTTTCTGAAGTCATGCACTTCTTAATTTATTTGGCAAAAAATAAATCATTATATTAATCAGCCAGCAGCCCCTTCTATGAGAGTAATTATTCTTCTGCCTTTTCAAACAAGTCAACACACTAGTCTAGAAATGAAATTCATAAAAGAATAGTTCTTCTTAAGTCTGCTTTTACACAAGGCAAGCAAACGGTCAGTCCTTTCTCCTTCTTACGGATGGCCAAGTTTTCATACTGAAATAACTGCCAGCACTACAGACTTCGTTAGGCAGGTGATACCTCCTTTTGCAGGGACTGGGTCACTTTCGTACATTGGTACTCTGACAATAACTGCTTCTCCTGAGATGAAAGTATCCCCAAAGAGATCTTGATGTTTTGTGCCCTTTGATATGTAGAGTTCAGTGCCCTTCAGATTCCTGTTTTTCTGTCATCCTGGGAGATTAACTTTAACAGTTAAAAGGAAAATATCCTCTGAGGGCTTCACCAGTAACATCCCCATGTTTGTGATATTATTCACTAAAAGAGAGACAGAAATGGGAAAGACCTCTCTCTTTAATCAATAATGCATGCTCTACTTAGTCGTGTCCTCTGGACATGATTAAACATGTATTTTGTTTCATAACTGATGATTTTGGTTGACTAGGGATTATAACTATATATCCTCAAGCCTTTGCAACTAGCGTCAGGAAGATCTAACATGAACTGGGTAGTCAGCTATGTTTAATGTTAATGTGGCACATAAACGAAAAAGACTACACCCCTGCCCCTCAAAGAAAAAAATACCCCAAAATCCCAGTGGGGAGAGCTGCAGCTAATTCTAACCTGCAGTGAATCAGGCCAGTCTTGCACAGGGCAGATGCCTTTGACAGGAACCAACTGCAGACAGTAGTGACATTGTTTACCTTTGTCAGGACTCATTTAAAGTTTTGAGAAATAACATCATTTCACTCATGTTAAAGATGAAGGAAAAAGTCTCTTAGAGATGAACCGTATAAATTGTTAGGTTAAGGTCTGTTCTTAACTGGTAAAATATTTGGCCAATGAAACTGATGGGCGAAGCACTTTGGCTTCTGCCCTGCTGGTTGGAGGCCACGCTGTATCTTTAGCAGCTGTTGTCAGGAGTTGTCCTGGGCTGTTCCAGACCTTCACAGCGCAGCTGGCAAGAGAACCTGAGCCCCTGTTGAAGCTGAAGGCACAGATGATCAGCCTCATCCCTGCATTCCTCATACAGAGGGGCAGACAAGGTGCCCAAACATGGACAGCTCCCTCAGCGTGTGGGGGGCACAGTGAATCTTGGAGGACAGATAAATTGAATGTACCAGTAAGGAATATTCATCCTTGATGCCAAGTATGTTCATCTGGTGGCTCAAGCTGACAAAATTTGACAGCTGCTGAAGAGCAGAGAATCCTAAATGAACATACAGTGGTTGTTATTAAATAGGAAACATTTATCTTAGTGTGATATTGACTATGGCACAATAAATGATGACAATTTCCTTGTACTGGAATGTGATATTTTTACATTGCTAGAGTACTGATACAAGTGAAGTTGGGTGAAATAAATGCTTTGGTTTTCATATTGACCACTCTACTTGAAACAGTTTGAGAACATTCCAGGGAACACACACAGCTTGTAGGTACATGCATGAGTGAGAGGATGGAATTCAGAAGTTGTGTAAGAAAAGTTTGCTGTTTCTGAAATGTTTTTGTTTCCTTTCTTCCTTCCCAGACTCTTGGAATGTCTTTTTTTTTTTTCCCTTCTGTTGAAGAAAAATGCCTTTTTTGAGAGGGAAAGCACAGACTGTCTTGGGCCCTGTGGAGCCAGACCACCTTGGCTATACATTGACTCATGAACACTTGACTATGAACTACAGCAGCTGTTTTTGTCCACCTTCTCCAGGCCAAGAGCCTCTGTCTGATGGGCCCATTGAGATGAAGAACTTGTTTTGGATTAAGCAAAATCCCTACAGCCATAAAGAAAACCTTCTTTTGTATCAGGAAACAGATGCTGTGAAGGAGGAGCTGTTGCATTTTAAAGCAGCAGGTGGTGGGACGATTGTGGAAAACACAACCACAGGAATTGGTCGGGATATGAATACTTTGAAGAAACTTGCTGAAGAAACTGGAGTCCATATTATTGCTGGGGCTGGGTTTTATGTGGATTCCACTCATTCTTCTCAAACACAGTCTATGACAGTGGAGCAGGTAAGTCTTAACCATTGCCTCAGTGTCTCTCTCCTATGAATTATCCCTGGATGAAGCAAAGCTGGAGAGAAGTTCCAGCAAAACAGATGAAATCTAGAAGCTCTCAACATGATAAACTGGGGAACAGCCTTACTGCTTATGTGTTATAGCTGAACCAGCACTATTTGTGTGTGCTGGGATTATCTATCAGCATTTCCTATTAAGCTTTGTTTTCTCTCAGGGATTTGTTATAATGCAACAGTAAAAGGAAAATGGAAGTACTTCATGTGTGGGCATCTGGTACAATACCAATTATCCTGTTCTTGTTACAGTTTTTAAGGAAGGAGTATATCCCTTCTGCCTCTTCTGTCTCTTCTTCTGGATACTTGTTTCTCAAGATTACCCAGAATTCTTGTTAAAAGCATAAATAATTGCAATATTTATAGGATGCTTGTAAATCATTGCTCTGCTCAGGCTATGTGTTCTATCACTCTTCTCTACCATTTGTCCAGAATTTTCAGGGCAGAGTTTACATCAGATTGTTTGTACAGTGCTTAAGACAATCTGTTAGTAATGACTGAGGTCCTCAGGTACTCCTATGATAATAAATATTCATTCATCTTTTATTAAGGAGATGTGATGATAGGGAGAAGATGGAAAGGAACTCTCCAAGGCAGGATGCTATGAATGTGGATGAACAGAGCTGAGAAAACGTTTAAAAAATCTATCACAGTTTACAAATGAGTCAAATTAATTTTAAAAATCAATGGTCAAAACTTGAGCAGTGCTACCAGCTGCACTGGACCCAAGCTGGTCCAAGCTGTATGGAACAGTATGACTTTTCCTAAATATTCTTCCAGAATTTGATACAAATAGATGTCTTGGGGCAAAGGTTTCCCTTCTGTATTTGGTGGATTGCTGGAGACCCACAGATGTTGGGTTTTCAGCAGGTAATCAATACTTAATCCAGTCCAGAAAACAGTTAGTTACTTAGAAAGGGTTGTGCAGTGACTGGTCTGTGATAACTGGTGGTTCCTCATTTGCCAGTGAATTTGACATGATTATATGTTTTCTGATTAGACAAAGACAATTTGAGTATTTTGAGAGGTGTTCCTCTGGAGAAGAGTGAATTCTGTATCTGGTTGTCTACAGAAATGGTTGGTAGACTGGTTATACATGAAGCAAAGGGTGTGTGATCATAGGATAAAGTGTTGGGCAGAAGCCTTCTGTAATTGTAATAGCTTGGACTGACTTTTGTGTGTAGATCGGGTATTTACCATTATGTTTGTGAGGCTGTTGAGGAGTCAAGGTGTGGAGTAGAGATAAGTTACAGATTTATTTGAAAATTGTTTGGGGTTTTTTTTTTTGCTTCCTGGATTTGCTTGCAAGCCTTCCTTCTTCCTTTGTTCGCTTCATTCTCCTTTAAAATCACAATTTCCTTAATATTCAGGGCCAAAGAGTTAGAAGGTCGTCATCATTACCATTCTGTGCTCTCAATTCTGAATGTATGCTTTAAGATATATGGCCTATTCTGGAAAAGAAAAACTAAAGTTTATTAAAAAATGCATTTATTAGGAGAGTCTGATGTCTTTTTCTGCCTATGAATATTTTAAAAGCAAGCCAATTTTGACTCTGTAAATTTGTCAGCTGAGCTCTGTTCTTGTAGTCCTGAAGTCAACAGAGGTCCTGTTGTTTTACATTGGCATTCCTACAAGCAGGATTTGCCTTAAACTTGTCTCTTCAGGATCTTTGCCAGAGCTTCTCCCTTCGCTATCTGAGAGATGAGGCTTCCTTATTCTCTGATCCCTTGTTTCGCAAGATAATATGTTGATTTGTTTCTGGAGCCAATTCAGGAGTGTGAGGCACAGGTTTCATGATAAACTGACTTTTTTTAAAAAAAGAAACATTAGTCTCACCCTAAATCAGTGTTCAGATTATATGTAGACCAGCTTTCTTGGCAAACCTGGAGAACCGTGTGAGTGAATACTGTTAAATTGATTTGTTTCTGTGTTTATTTTGGTCTTAGTGAATGGCTAGCATAACATCAGTTGACAGAAACCAGATTTTAACTGCAGTGTTTTCACTCACCCAACTGTTAATTAAATAAGTTCGGAAAGACCTCAGGAGTACAACTAACACGGTGTTCATGGGCCAAATTTGATGCTATTTAACACAAATAGTATTAATAACCAAAAATCTCATTTCCCTGTTCTCTAGCTTACAGGCATTATTGTTGATGAGATACTCAATGGAGCAGATGGGACTAACATCAAATGTGGTGTAGTGGGAGAAATAGGTTGCTCCTGGCCTTTGACTCAGAGCGAACACAGAGTGCTTCAGGCAACAGCACAGGCTCAGTCACAGCTTGGGTGCCCCGTGATCATCCATCCTGGCAGGAACAGCGATGCACCATTCCAGATTATCCGCATTCTGCAGGAAGCTGGGGCTGATGCTTCGAAGACAGTCATGTCTCACCTCGACAGGTAAGCAGACTAGTCTGCTGTCCTTCTGGGAGTGTTGCCACAACCCGCTGGGGTTTTGGGGAACTGTGCTGCAAACAGCTAGGTTTCTGTTGTGCACTGGGATCACAACGCAAAGAATTGTCTTCAAGTTTACGGACTTAAATATAATTGCTTACATAGAGCTTGAATAGCTTCCAGCACTTCAGTTGGGATCAGCTTTTAGATTTACATTGATAAAGATATTTTGGGATTTTAAATGCTCTCTTTGAAGGCCTGGGAGTGAGATTAGGAACAACTGTAGCCACATTTTTAAAAAATGGGAATTCCATTAATTCATATCCCTGAACAAATCCCTGTATTTACAAAGCATTGGACATTGAGCATCTCTCAACAAATGGGGTGGGAAGCTGCTGGGCTTCCAGCATTTTTGAAAACTGGGCCATAGAAGCTAATAGACAACTGCTTGATTTGGCTGGATTCTGGATCAAAGCAGAAAGCAGATCTTTAATGTTCTGCTACCAGACAGAATAAATATGGCTTAAAACCCCCCACAACTACTTGTGTTTTGGATGGTCTTAGCATAGACCAAAACACTAACTTTTAGTTTCCTTGAGACCAAAAACCAGGAACCCTATATCAGACATGGAAAGGAATTGGGGTGCTTTTCTCTCTCCAGTATAGAAACACAACCTCTATTACCAAACCAGTTTTGTGTGACCTTGTGTTGCTCATGGTGAGCTGGAAAGCATCCAAGCATTGATCAGTTTGGCCAGTTGCTGAATAATAGAGACCATTTGTGGTCATGTGATTGTCAGCAATTGGATTGTTTGCCCTCAATGTGAGGGTAATACAGGCAAGAGCATCGTGCTCCAAATTTCTAATGGTTACAGGCTCTAAGAGCTTGCATATCAAGCTACAGGTGTTTTGTATTCACACAGAGCTCAATGTTTTACCTGGGGATTTTAGGAGCGTAAAATTCAGTGCCATGAAATGTTATTTATATTTGATTATATAGAAATGATATGGGCCTGATTTATGTATTTACTCACATTCCATTGTATTTATAGCTATATTTTTCTCTCCTTTTTAAAGAAAAACTGATTCCTTGAATCTTTTTATGAAAGAGGACTGGGCAAGCTGCAGGTGTCAGTACTTATGTAGCCATTTTGATACAACATAAATATCTGGTTATGGTTTTTTACCTTTATACGCTGTTGTAAATCATTGAATTTAATGATTTATTGGTGGAAAATAAACAATATAAGTTAGGAAAACAGTCAAGACAGGGGTGCAGTTTCACTGACAGCTGCTGATGCACAATATGACATTTCCTTGTACTCCTCCTATCATTACTTTCACACATTCAGGCTGGCACTTGCTATAACATAGACGCTAAACTACTGTGGAGTTTGGCTTTGCAATGTGCATTTAACATTTTAAGTCTCCTCTAGTGAGAAGAATCCACGTGGGAGCATCCCAGTCCCTTAAATGTGAGATAAATTTGTACATAGCTCCATATTTCATGTGTGCTTTTGACACAGACAGAATGGTAGTTTTCAAAGGTGGATTTACAATCAAATGATAAAACTAAAATGCTGGCTACCATCTTTTGCTGTTTAGTACTGTAGAACGAAAGGTAGCAAGTGTCCTTAGTGAAACTGGTGTAGATAAAGACTGGGAAGCAAAAGCTATCAAGTCTTGGCTTTGGTCATTTATTAATAAGGGATTAAGGTTCTAAAGGTAACTTGATAGAGATCAACTTTCATTCAACTGAGTAGCTTTTGTTAGAAAAGTCACAGCAACTGTTACGAATGCTTGCTTCATAATGGTTTTGTGGGTGTCCCTGCATTGATTTATGGATGAGGTCCAAACTATAAGATGCTCCCCTGCATCCCATCTCCTTTTCCGTGCATTCAGGGCTGCTCAGGGACACGTGTTGCCCAGTCACCCAATTCCAGCACAGAGATTAGCAATTCAAGCTAGGAACTGCTGCTGCTGCTGCTACATCCATGTGCTTTACAAGGGGAACCAATGGCTGATGAAATTAAGCGCTTCTGCTCTTTGTTGGGACAGAGCACCCAAACCCACAACACTAACAGTAATTTTAAAAAGAAATTGGTCTGGCTGTGATTTTGAAATACAGTGTTGGGTGTTTTTTGCCACCTGCACAGGTTGAATACTCTTGGCTGCCATCTCCCTATGAACTGAGCAGGGCTGGATCTAAAATAACCCATTCTCTTGCTCCGCACTTTGAAAACTCATTTGGTGATAAATGTTCAATCTCTGTAAACTGTAACATTTATTTAAAAATAATTTTTTATTAATTACAGTTGGCAAGTCTTAGACTCCTGGTGATGGCAGGCTTGTTTGAACAAGGGTTTTCTCTCTCTCAACCCATCTGTTCCTCCTACTTGGTCCTGTTGTTAAGTCATAATATTGAAATTGTGACATGAGTCATTTCCATAGCAACAGACTGTGATGTAATTGTATAGGGTAAAATTACTGTGTGACATCAATATCTGCAATAATAAAAAAATTAAGCTACTGCCCTTTTGGTTAACTGTGCTGTGCTTGTGGAAATTTATTTTTTCCTTAGATGAAAAAAAATGTGGTTATAAAGGTAAAATTATGATGTATCATTTGAGTAGTTTTGTTTTCCTGTGAATAGCTTATACTCTTGCTTAAAATGTTTCAAAGAAAAAAAAAAGTATTTCAGAGAGCTCTTACTTAAGTTGCCAATTCTTTTCCAAATGAGCGATAGATTTTTAGTAGCTTTATTCCCTCACTTTTCAAATCTGCTGCAAAAACCCACGTCCCAGGTAGTCACAGGACCATTATATATTTTGGTGAGAGAGTTTCCTTAAGGCGTTCTGGCCAGATCCCAGTGCAAACAATGATATATTGCTGTTGTAATGACAGTCTAGAAACATCACTGTACGGAATAGAAACTAAAGACAAAGTTGTGTATTACCGGTGTGTGATAGATGAAACAAGCCCTGGATGTAGCTGTCTCCTGTAACTCCTGGGAAAGTAAATCTGTCTTGTGTAAGTAATCCATTGTCTTTTTTTTAAATGTCACTATGAATTAACCACCTCCTTAAATGTCCTTCCTTGTTAGGTTGTCTGTTGAGAGGGTTAGTGATATCAAAAGTAAGTAACTTTTCTGTTTCCATATAAAGATTATCATAAATGTTTTCATTATTTCATGGGGGAAGAGTTGGGTTTGTTTTGGGTTTTTTAATGCATGAAGTCCCAGACGAATGTGAGAAAGATAATCAGCTGAAGTTGCATGTGTCAGACAGGAGTCCTGTTTTTCAAAAGGGTGAATTAAATCTTAGATTATTGGTTTTGTTCCTTGCAAGTAGGAAGTCACAAAATACCTATCCTCATAACATGAGGGTTTTTTTTTTTCTTTCTGTTACAATGCTGACTGTGTTATATATGTTCTGCAGGACCATATTTGATACAAAGAAACTTCTGGAATTTGCTAAACTTGGATGCTATTTAGAGTATGACCTATTTGGCACAGAATTTCTTCATTACCAGTTCCATCCTGATATTGACATGCCAAGCGACAATGAAAGAATTGCAAGGTATCTGCTTCCATGAAGTTTAAGCTATAGCATTGCCACTGACAAAGGAATATTATTGGTACTTGTTTTAAGGGCATCATAGAGTGATTCTACTTGCTGCTCCAAATTGTCTTTTTTCATACTGAAATAACGACTTTTTTTTTTTTTTTCTGCTGCTGTCACATCTTCAGAGCAGCATGTAAAATTTCTTCTGTCTGCAAAGGAAGATGTAGAATTATAGTGTTGTAGGAAGTTACTTGAGAAGAAGATCAGGAGCTTTTTTAACTTCATTCTCTATCCTAATTCCATGCTCATCTGGTTGAATTTTATCTTTTACTGCATATATGGAGACTGTAAAAAAGGCTGGAGATACTGGATTGATGTTAGGGTTTCACTTTTGTTTGAAACACGGTACTGGAAACCTAGTGCTGCTGCTAAGCATCATCTGAGCCTGTTACCTCTCCTCATCAGTGTGCTAACCCAGCAAAATTCATTGGTTGTCTTGGGTGGATTTGATCCTGTGCTTCTGTCGTGAAAACCAGACTTCTTCCAAGCACTTTATCACCACTCCTCCCCCTCTCCTTTTGCCCCTTCTCTCTTTTGAAGGATGAGAGTCCTGTCTCCTCAGAGCTCCCATGCTCCTCACACTCACAATGTGAAAATATTGGCCCTGCTGGCAGGATACCTCTTCCCTGGTTCTCATCAGCACATGCAGTCTCAGTTCAGCTGCACAGCAAATCTGTTGTGCTGTGCTAAGACAGGGTATTGCCAAGGTGTATTCCTTGCAGAAACTGTCTGAGACAGGTAGGATCAGCTGGGAATGAGCATCTCACTCCTTCCACTCTGTCCAGAGGTGTGATCCTCCAGTGCTGTTTGTCCAGTGTTCATGTGCAGTGAAGTGGCACATTTCTGAGGGGTGGGGGTGCCATCCTGCCTGTGTCTTTTTTCTTTCCAGAGTCATAAAGAGTTCTTTAGTTCTCCATGATGAGAAAGATTTTATGATCCCTGATCACTAATGAAGTAACTTTCTAGCTTTCGCTTACATTTCAGACATAGCTTCCCTCCCCCACATTGTCAGATTAACCTCAAAACTAAGCTCTGTTTTCAGACTGTTCTCTTCTTAAGAAGGAGCCGTGGTTACTATTCCTCTTTCTGCCAAGCATTTGCTGCTGCTTTTCACACTAGAAATCGTTTCTCTTAACAGGGCTCTCAGTCTTGTGCTCAGTGTTTTAAACTGTTGCAATGAATCTGCCGTTTTCACATTTAGAATGGGTAAAGTTGTTTCCCTACCCTATGCCTCCTCCCCTCTCCTGTGCCACGGGAGGTCAGCGTGTACAGAAGCACTGTGAGGAATACATGTAGAGGAATGGACTGTGCCTTGGTTAACAAGTGCTTGTTCAACCATAGCAAAGTTTTCATTCCATCCATGATACTTGGTCAGCCACCGGTGTCTCTCATTACATTCTCTAGCATTCAAGTATTTCTTGCAGCAGGCTGTCTACAAAAAGAAAATACAAAAAGTTTGTCTCACTGTATGGTGTGCATTTGAGTTCGAAGTGCCATTAAATGGATATTGTTGGGCTTTTGGTGCATCCACGCTGGACATAAGATGGCAGTGGCTATCTCCTTAGGGTTGGGTTTTTTTGTCAAACAGCACCAGAGAGGTGGAAATCAAACTGACCTTTAAAAGTGTTGAGGAAAATACTAAATGGAAAATGTATGTTCAGGTCTTGTCTATTCAAAACAAACTTCTGTAGTCATGCCATACCTATTCAAACACAGTTTATGCAATTTTCTGCCAATGCAAGTAAAAAACCTGAATTTTTTCAGGGACAGTTTCTTAGATTCAGAAGCAAGTACTAAGCTTATATGAATGAGCAAAAACCAGCAATGAATATGGAATATTATAAAGGACCCATATGCCTCCCCAACCCATGAAATTAGTCCAAATATAAAAGGAGATGATTCTAAGAAGACGTTTAGTCAGCGAAGAGCTTAGTCCCTCCAGTGTCATTGCTCTTACTCTCTGGTTGGCTTGTGGTCTCTGTATTTCAATCTAGAGAAAATACTTGTGGTGTTGTAATACTATGATATACATAGTGTTGTGCACCGTATGGCACTGTTTATGGTGTTTTTTTGAAAGATGCTGATATTTTACCAAGTTCTGTCTTACGTGCATTCTTCCTGCTGCCCATATTGATTTGATCCTGTGACGTGTATCTCCTCATAACAAATTGTAATAAAAATTGACAGTGAGGGCTTTCAGATATAGTGTGGTTACTTAAAAAGCTAGTATTAGCTTTCTTGCTTATCAAAACACAGTCAGAAAGGTCTGACTTCACAACACTGGCAAATCATGGAATTGGGTGCCTTCGTGAGGAACAAGCAATTTCTAGGCCTGGTCTATCCATCTCTGCCACTTGAATGCTGCAATCTACTTCCAGACTAAACCGAAGCTTAGTTGGAAATTTAGCAGCCATGCAATACAGGAGTTTAGGCAAAAAATGATCTGAATGAGGGATTAAGGTGAGTGAAACATGAAACAGAAGGACTTGTAGCAACTTACTACAAGGGAGTGACCAGGAGGATTACTTCTTTTTCCAAGCTGACTTCTTGTCATTTTGCCAAGTCTGTTTAGCTGGGATGCCAAATTAACTCCTCTTATTTCCTGGCATATGCTAGCACTGTGCAATGCCTGCCTTATTTATCTTATTTAATGAACATCTTTGAAACATGTTTGGATGGTAACTGTCTATATGGAACAAGATGCTGACAGCTTCAAATTTTTATTAACCTGGTTAGCTAAATGGGAATTAACTAAAGATGTGGAAGCATTTGTGTAATTGAGCTAGGCTTCTTAAAGGACCTGCCACGTGCAGGTTAACAAATTAATGGACTAGCTTTGTGACAGCAGCAAGAACTAACCTACTGAGAAGGAGTTTATGTAGGAAATTATTACTTAGTCATGTACATAAAACCTGTGTCCCGTGCTTGGTGATACCAAAGCTCTTGAATTCCTCTGTGGACTTAAAGGGATTGGAAATGCACAGTCATATGGCAGCTGGAAAGAGTTTCCCTCTCCACTTTGAAATGTGCAGTGGTTGGTATGTTTTCAGAGATTTTTTTTTTTTATTCAATAAAATATGTGCTTTAATTTCAATTAAATATAAGGAATATGTCTTCTGAGTACCTACCAATAAGTATTTTCAGTTATAATATAGTCCATCAGTACAGTAATGTGAAAAAATGTATATCCTGCTCAGTTTTGTGCTGTTGCAGAATGAGAACCTTTCACTGATGGGTATGCTTTTTACTCTTGCAGGATTCGTATGCTGATCGATGAAGGCTATGAAGACAGAATTCTGATTGCTCACGATGTGCACACTAAGAACAGGTTGATGAAATATGGAGGGCATGGATATTCACATATCCTTAAAAATATAGTTCCTAAAATGCTAATTAGAGGCATATCTCAAGAAAAAATTGATAAAATACTCCTAGCAAATCCAAAGCGGTGGTTGACTTTTAAGTAAGAATAATGAATAAATATCCCTGCTTTATCGGGAAGCTGGATAAAATTCAGATTTTTTTCAGGACACTAGTAATTTTAAAACTCTGTTCTTTTCAGAGAAAACTGGAAGTTATTAATTAGGTGCTAACAAACTGATTATGACTTTTCTTTTTAATTAGAACAACAAAATTATGTATTCTCTCTGCATTTTCTCCCTTCTAAAAGGCTGTCCATAAATGATTACTGGATATAAGCCTGCAGAATCTTTCCAATTGAAATTTTAAAATAATTGTTTCTAGAGAATAATATTATTATATGTTACCCAAAAATATTTCTGAAGATGCATCATCTGGACTTTGAAGGAATTATGGTTTTCAATTAAATTCCCCTTCTCCAGTTGGTGATTTTAGTCCTTGTAATATTGACAGTCTTTTAATTATCCTTATATTTTTAAATAAGGCTGGATAGAGGGTCTGGGACTTTTAAATAGCTTCCACAGACAGCAGAGCGCAAAAGGAATCTCAAATAATTCTTAAAATTATAGTGTTTCTTTCTACTTTAACACTTTTTTTTTAAATATTTTTGAATAAAGCAGTTTGATGACCTCTTAAACAATGTGCAGTATTATTACAGATGTATTTTTTTAATCGCATTAATTTTTTGTCCTGAACTTTTGGAATCTCACAGCGATCATGTGAAGCTTCATGCACACCAGCTTCTTTTTGTAAGGATGCAACACCAAAAGTCAAAATGTATTACATAATACTGTTTTAATGAGTTGTAATAGTTATAACAAAGGTTGTGATATAAGTCTTTACAAACCAGTATATCAAGATATGATGGAAATGGAAGAAATGTTTGCCTTATATGTGTTTTTCACATAAAGTGTGTTCTTTGCTCTCGTCTAACTTTAACCAGGGCAGGTGATTTATCCAAAAAATTGTCTTATCCAGTAGCAGCAGTAGCCTGATTTCAAAAGCTTCTTCAAATTTGACCGTATACACCTTGTACTATTTAGCTTTTCCAATAAATACCATAGTAAATATGCATTGCTAGTTGTAAGTGATCTCTAGTTGTTACATTACTGTTTGATACTACATAGAAAAACGCTAGCTACACTGCTGTTGTGAGTGTGCTAACCAATAGAAGCAACAGTGGAATGAACAGACATGAAGTCAGTTACACATCTGTTACTAAAATACATTACCTTGTAGAAAAAAAACCAAAACAGGATTAACCACTACAATGTACGGATATAGGTTGGCACTTCGCCATAAAGTAAAAGCGTTAATCATTCTGGTGAGATGATACACAAGCAACTGGCAGCACAATGTCCCTTTATAAATCCTAGATGAGTTAGACTGGCGATCCTCTCAGCCAGCCTGGACTAACTCAGCATTTATTTTGAATCAGACGACTCAAAACAGAAACAGAAAGAGTAACACATTCTGTTTAAGAAAAGCTTCACTCATTCAAAAAAGAGATTTTTAGATAGATTCGTAAAATCTTCATCAGACTTTTACTGAGCAGCCAGCACTGAAGAGCTTTTTTGTCACAGTGGTAGACACGTTTGACATTTTAGTGCAGATAAATCTGAGTTTGTACCCTTGGTACATTAGACAAGGTTGCTCGTGGCAAAGTACATGAAATAGAAATGCTAGGGGTAGCCTCTATTACTCCTTCACAATTTATAGAAATGTTAAAAATAAATAATATAACCAACTGTGCTAAGCAGCTAGCTAGTTATCCTGATAAAATTTAGACTTAGAATGAAATCTGCAAGTTTTTGACCTGAGAGAAATAGACAGCCTCCCCTCCCAAAACAAATAATAAATCAATTTTCTGAATGAAAATATTTTGTAGACATTACTGGTACGACTAATTTTAAAGCATTTTTATAACTATGTAACTCATAGTACCTGTGTTTAGTTTAATTCTCCAAGCCATTAATCCTTTATATGGATTAAACTTCTTTGAGACTTTATATATATCTCTCTATATATATGAACGAGAAAAATAGGTTTTAATACACACTTCTTTTTTTTTTTGCATGTAAATATCTGCTTCTTTCTTTGCATATGTGTTATCATTTTTGGTAATATGCTTATCTGTGTCCATTTCATAGGCACGCCTTACTACAAACTGGTAACTAACTACCATGGAAAAGGTCTGTGTGACACCATTTTCTCACGTGTCAGATCTCCCACTCCTCTTTTGTGGGAATAATCCCACTGTGAGACAAGACACCTAAGACAAATAAGGTTTTGACCCATTACATTCCTACGAAATTCTAGTTGAACATCTGCAGTAAGTCATAACTATTTTATTAAAAATAGTACCCAAGTACAGACTAAGTGCTAAAAGACTAATGAAGACTAACTGCTGCAAAGAAAACACTCTACCTTAGTCTGAGGATATGGATGCCAGGCTTGCTAAATATTTACACAACTATCCATCAAGAATGGGCCTGTAATAATTGTCTAAATATATATTTACACATTTACAAATTAAAAGCCAAATCCTTTTTCCAAATCCTAGTATCAGTGGGAGTTTTGCCATTGGCTTTGGTGGAATCAGGGATTTGGTCCAATAGAACAGTTTGACAACTGTTAGATTTTTCAGGAAAAAAAAAAAGTGTTTCTTCTATCCTTTTTCTTTTAGAACACAGCTAAGGGGAAGACAAAAATTAAACAACTCCACTGGATTGATTTTATGTTAAAAGTCTAATGTAAACCTACAAAGCAGGAACACTGAGTTAAGGCTTGAAGCTGATTCTAGTTTTAAGTGGAAGGATAAGAAAAGTACAAGGCAAACAATTCCTTTGGAAAGAGAAAGTATATTTTGATTACCTCTTCCTTTTATTGTAAAATCTTTCCTCACCACACTATGAGTGGACTCCAAGCATCATTGTTAGCAAGTAAGTCACAAGAACCGAAGCTGAAGTATGGATAAAGCAGCAAGATCATAACACATCAAAGTATCATATACACTGAAGAAATAGCTCAGCGTCCTTAGGTGGGTTGTTTTCTATAAAAATCTGATCTATGTAGGACTTCATTCACATGGACACTGACAATGAAGTATTTGCTTTGGCGGTAGTGGCTCACACATCTGTTTAACTTGGTTTGTAATTTTTTAACATAAGGTTTGTCTGTGTTGTACAGATGTGAATCAGGTAGCATTCGACTTTTTTTTCCCCGCTACTGAGGTGTTCGGTGGTCGTGCTCTGCTGGGGTGCTTGTTTCATTGATTTTTGCCACGCAAATCCATTGCTTAGAAGAGCAAGCTTCATTTTTGGACTGGTTTGGTGGGTCTTTTGATTCATTATCAGTCAGCATAAATAATAAATCCAGAAAATGTGCTGTATTTGTTGTTGTTTCCTCCATGTGCTTTTCCTCCATCTAATTTAATGTAAACTTCGTCTCCTGGCTCCAAATGAAGAACCACGCTGTTACTGGCATAGTCGTAGTTCTGATCAGCATCCTGAGCAATCGCGCTAGCTCGAACCTACATGAAATACATAATGAGTGGTTACAAAAACTCAGAGCATTTTCCCTGCATGGTGAAATTAAAGCATATCCTCAATATTTTATTCAGCATGCATGAGTTGCCACCTTAAATGTCTGGCAACATATATTGTGTTTTTTTCCTGTGGTTACTGCTTATTTTCTCCTACAACACAACACATGAAACTGAAGCAATAACATGCTCCTTTCTCAGTCAGCTGACTAATACACAACTGCTTGCTCTCCTGTAGATGTTTGGAGCCTTTCTAAATATATGCGCAATAACAGCTGAAGTTCGGAGAGCTGAATCTGGTGTGCGCCAGTTTTACACTGGTGTAACTTTCATTTCAGTAGGACAAGTGGTTGACATTGGTGAGGATCCACAGTGAGGCCCTACTGATACCAGGCTGGACTTTTTCCAGAGGGGATTTATTGTCATACTAATAGTAGGAACATGTTGCAAAAAGAACACAAACAGTACCCACCCACCCACATCCACACACGCTCCAGTGCACACAAGCAGGTAAGGATCCTAGCTGGGGTTTGGAAAAACTGTTATGGCCACATTTCAGTAAGCAAACATTTAATTTCTGTGCATTGAAAGAGATACACATTTAAAAAATCACAGGTGAGTTGATATTTGCTTTAAGAGATTTTGGAATTTACAAGTAATTGAGGACATTTCATTTGCAACTTTCACTTAAACATGTTTTTCCCATTTTTCCCTTGCTATTCCAGTACTGATTAAACTTGATGTTACTAGCAAACTGGAAGTAATCTGTAATTTCAAGATGTATGTTGGTTTCCAGCAATGAATAGCCCATACCATTGTAAGTCTCCAAATCATTTATATGTAATTTGACCCTGTTTGGTAAAATATTTAAACTTAGTTGTATGTGATTTATTTCAATGTAACACATCATCTGCTTGTTGCTTGTCTTTGTTCTAGCGTAGTTACAGAGCAGCAAGTGATTTAGTGGTAATGCAAACCTGAACTAAGTAATAATGCATGACTTGGCGTACTATATGTGGGATTTTATCTGTTCTGAATTGAAAAAATAGGCTATAAGTCACAAATTTCCATGGATTCCTTTCAAAGTTTAAATGATAAATTTCCAAATTAAATTTTCATGTGATACGATCTCACATTAATATTGAAATGTTAGAACGGAGGGGTTCTTTACCATGCAGGATCTTATGGCATTATGCAGCTTAAAAATCACAATAGGTGGAAATTCCTTCTACATCCTGTAAGAAGAGTGAGAAAATCTTAGAAGGCTTTCAGTGGTGTGACAGTTTGCAAATTTAAACTGATTTAAACATGATGATAAACCCACAACTATTTCGGGACTTCTTGATCCTGAACTGCCTGGTGGTGTTTACAGAGGCAATCTGTTTTGCTAGTGTTTAACCAATAATTAATCTAAGCAGAGGGTACTTCCTCTGGATTAATGACTAGCAGGGTGGAGTTGAGGGCTATGGGCCATTAACCCTGGAAATACCCTCCAAAGGAAATAACGGGCAGAGGCTGCTGCTGGAGGTGTAAATGGAAAGGGCAAATGGAAAGGAGTGAAAAAGCTATAGGTGAGGTAGAAAAACTTTCACATAGAACTAGTATCTTGCATACTGGCAAACAAAATGGTTTAAATTACTTTCCAGATTTCCATTTGCATCATACTGAAATGCTACTTCGTGAATTTGTCTAAAATGTGTATTTTCTTCTGTGACTAGTAAAGGAGAATTCGAATTGTATTAGTGACTACCCTAAGGAAGTCAGCATATGGACACTGACTACTGTAACAATGGATATTTCATTTTTAAGATTATAGGCAGTATGTACTGGCTGAAAAAAAACCCCAACATTCTGCATAATGAAAGTCTAGAAACCAAAGTGTAGATCTTACTGCCCTGTTTATAATCAAATGTCCTGTAAACTCCACTGTGCTAATTCTTAGAGGTTTTACCTCCTTGTTTGGTTAGTCAGAGGAATTTATTTTCAAAGCCTGGGAGAACAGTCTCAAATGAATTCTCAGTGTACTGCCGCAGGAGGGTAAATGTATCTCAAAATCAAACCATTAATGGACTATACATGTAATAAGTTGCATGACTGCTGAACTCATCTTTCATGGAGTCACGCTCTCAGGTTTCAGAGACGTAGTAGTTCAGCTGTATGACCTCAGCACTCCCTGATAAAGCTTTATAACGGTTAAAGAAGGAAAAGTGTTAACAGTGGAGACCTCGAGGTTCCTCCTGTGCATTGCTTAGGAATGACTTTTTTTTTTTTCTGTAAATCACACGCTTTTCAGCATTTGGGTTTTTTCATTGTTGGAAAACACTGAATTTATTTTTCTTTCCCAGACTCCATTTAATGACTTACTTCCAAAATTTCTGAGCTTTCTTATAAATAATACACAAAGTTAACTGCTATCACATCACATCAGTGTTTAGTGTTTGAGGTATAAATCATAATCAAAAGGAGACACTGCTGCATTAAAACCGTGTGTTAATTTTTAAGTAGTTTGTATGCAGATATTTACCTAAATACCTATCTTTGCATAGATAAATACAAATATATACATAGAACCCCTGCCTTTTTTTTTTTTATTCGAATCACTGCGAGTTTAATTTGTTTTGTGTCTGGTACTGGAAGTAGTTATATTTGGGAACCGTTAGACTTCAGCCTCAAAATATTTTTAATTGGTTACTTTTTAAAAAGAACTGGTATGTGTTTATTTTTCCGGGTTTAGGAAAATAAACACTTTAAAACATTAGAGGTCAAAAATAGATTTATTTTTTAATTGCAAGTAAAATGGTATTCTCGCGGTGGACGATCTCGCCTTTGTGCGAAGAAATCAAAGTGAATATATTACCATGTACTTTGTTTTATGAGTCCCGGTTTATCTGCTGAGGTAGTATTTATGGTAGACATTTTCTAATCTAATTAATTGTTGCCGATGTCCTCATTATTCTTTTTTCACAGTACTTCTGAGGAGCCATAAACGAAAGGTTAAGTGGCACAGCAGATGAATTGACGGCCGGCCGCCGCTCCCGCCTGCGGGGAGCACAAAGGGCCGGGGAGCGGCTGCCGGCTCCGCCGAGCTGGCGGCGCTGCCCGGGGGAGGAGACACGCAAACGAAGGAAGGAGCCCCCCCGGCACCTGCGCCGCACGGCGGGACACCCAGTCCCAGTTCCAGTCCCAGGGACACCGCGCAGAGCGGGTCACCCCCCCGCAGCCCGCCCCGCCGGGGACTGAACGGCCCGGGGAGAGCGGCAGCGCTG